AGAAGCCATTTCGTTGAGCTAGATCTTGTTTTCGATTGTTATTCACGAAAGGGCCTTATGCAGGTGTGAATGGGTAGTCGTCGAAACGTAAAGCCCTCTTTTGACTTTCACAATTTGTTTGACAAGAAAAACATATGACATGACTAAATATGGTATGATGACATCACATCATGGCCATAATAGGCACATCATGACTCTATTTCCATTGGCATGAAAGTCCCTCCCCGTTGCTTCCTCTATTTCGAATTCCTGGATTCGCCACTGGATGTATTAAGTTCTATAGGCTTATAGATTATTGGAATCAATTTAGCATAAACCAATTAACACTTTGATTGAACACTACATCAGGAAGGGTGCAGCAAAATTGAATACCTACAGTATTCCGGTAACTAGAATTCCTGCGAAGAATTAAAATAGGACGTAGAAGAAAAAGCTTAAGAAAAAAGGGAGCACTCAAACGAAGAACTGCAAACGTAAGCACAATATAAAATAATGTCAGGCTTGAGTTTAATATATTATCTGACTACCATTATAACTTTATAGCCGTTTGCAGTTGACATTGTTGTTTTAATAGTTTTACAGAAGTACTGTATTGCACTGTTCTAAGCAAGGCAACGAATTTGGTACCGGTAATAACATTTTAAAGAAGTGTAGCAACCTAAGTTTTATTCTTTAAAATACGTTTTAAAATTTACTATTTTCTTATAACCACTATAAACTCAGTAATATTAGGCGTATAAGTTATATGATTTCCTTAATTGGTGGATTTAATCGAGATTTCCTACCGGATATAATGTCCTTTAAACTTTGCCTTATGCTTTCAAACAGTTTTAAGCATAGAAATCAAGAATTCAACGTGTTAGATTGCATCGTCCCCCGCGTCTTAACTACCTCTGCATTTATAAAGTGGTGGGCCGTTGGTATGTCTAACGCCTTTTTTATAACCTCACTGTATATGCTGCACTAGAGAGTGTGGGCGATATTCCGGTAGTTGATTGTACTCATTAGGAGGACCTATTTTCAAACTCTCGTTTCACAGCAAAAGTCCACTTTTCTAGCTTAAATCCCTGTCTCTTATACACATCTAGATGTGTATAAGAGGAATACATAAGATTAATCCATCAATTGAACTGCTTTGACCAAAAATTAAAAAAAAATCCAAAATCTTCACCAATAGATGAAAGCTACAAAAATCGATAAACATTTTTTTTAAACCAGAAAAAAATATAGAAATCAAAACTTGGTCCGAATTTTAGATTTGATTGCTGAAATTATTCTTCATTTTTGTTACTATTATAAGTAAGTTTGGATTGTTATTTTCACCATTAATACTATTGATGTTATAATTATAGTATTATTAATGGTGATAATGAGTGTGATGATAAAAAGCATGATATTCGTATCAGGATAAAAATGAAGACGATAATATTGATGATGATAAAGACGATGATGATGATAGTGACGATGATGATGATGATGATGATGATAATAATAATGATGATAATGATAATGGTAATGATGATGATTGGATGATGATAACACTAACCCTCCCGTTATAACTACAATTAATTATCATACATTGGCAAAACTGACGCCATTAGAAGTATTACAAGTATAATTTTAAGCACGAAACAGCTTCAAACAATTTCATAATTACATTATTGTATCAACAAGGGCTCGGACTTACGAATAATAATTGATTCGTTCTTTGGCATGACAATAGCTTAACAATCAGATGAAAGACAAATATAATATGTTGTATATGGATGGCTGCCAATAAAACTTGGCATTAAAACCAACTTCAAATTATAGTCACTTTGTTTTATTCAACTTTAATAAAAAAAAAATACAGGACACAGGCAAAACTGAGTGCAAGTTAATGTTGATGTTAAAGTCAATGCATGACATGAATCATATCGTACATTTTTATCTATACATCAACGTGTTTATTTCAAACATACGTACTACTTACTTTAAAGTACGTTGTCTATACTTAATGTTGTATCTGGTGCCTTAATTTAATGTTGTATTGGGTGCCTTAATTTAATGTTGCATCACTTAAAGTGGAAAACAAGAACTACACATTATTGTTTCCACTAAAATATATCAATCATCTGTTTGTTCCGTTACCTACTTAACTCAGTGTTAAAACGGCAAAGTGCAAGCACTGACGATGATAGTTGTTTTTCTTAATACACTCTGTCACGAATAAAAAAAACTGCGTTTTTACAAAATATACTACTGTCTTTAGTTCTTTGCGTTTCTCACTGACTGTGTTGACATGATGAGACACAGTGCAGAATATTATGACAGGCATCTGAGATGAACTTTAGTAACACTTGTGGATTACAACGAGCTAGCATTGTAGAGGTATTTGTCACCCGTTGACTCGCTTCCGTCACTTCTGTATTTTTGTAAGTAAAATGTTCATTAAATAAAAAAAATAAAATAAAATAAAATAAATAAAATATAACAAACAATAATATTGTACATTTTTTATCCTGGTGTGTTTATTATTATTTTGTGTTTACTGATGACTCTTTCACGTTTATTATTATTGTTGCTTCCTCCGTTTGTAAATCATCCTTTTATTGTGTATTTGCAACCTTGGAGAATTCGTAATCTGTTCCAAGTCAACTGATAAACTTTTTCATGCATTTATTTAGTTGGATTAACGTAATTCTTCTTGTATTGATTTTAAACTCTGCTGATCGAAATTGTACTCTTATTGCCGCACATCATTCTCATCCTTTATGATTATCCTTCTTCTTGCTAAAGTAATAATTATATTGAAACTACTTATACTTGTTTTTAAGTCACTCTCATTTAAACAACTATCGTATTGTTACGCCGGATATGCCCCTTCTCGTGCACTTCATTCACTGGTAAACACGTTTTGCAAGTCCCTTCGCTTAAAAATAAACGTAAAACATGGTCAACGTACCTTTCCTTTTCAGGCCCATATCAGAAATCAGTTACTCTTTTCTGTGAGAGACAGTTCGCAAATTATTATTATTATTATTATTATTATTATTATTATTATTATTATTATTATTATTATTATTATTATTATTATTATTATTATTATTATTATTATTATTATTTTATTATTATTATTTTATTATTATTATTATTATTATTATTATTATTATTATTATTATTATTATCATAATAATAATAATAATAATAATAATGCATGTATGTCAAAATTAAAAATTGTTAGTCTAAGCAATTCAAACCAAAGTAGGCCCGGTACTTATTTTATAAAATGAATTACCACCGAATTAGGACCTACGGTATCTCATCGTGTTGCTTTCAACCGAATTTGAAAACGCTCGATGACAATCACCAATGCCTCTTCTTTCAAGTATTACAACGTATTCCGTTTTTTCTCCATAAATTATTTGTATTAACGCATAATGAATGCACTACTCTAGAAGCCATTTCGTTGAGCTAGATCTTGTTTTCGATTGTTATTCACGAAAGGGCCTTATGCAGGTGTGAATGGGTAGTCGTCGAAACGTAAAGCCCTCTTTTGACTTTCACAATTTGTTTGACAAGAAAAACATATGACATGACTAAATATGGTATGATGACATCACATCATGGCCATAATAGGCACATCATGACTCTATTTCCATTGGCATGAAAGTCCCTCCCCGTTGCTTCCTCTATTTCGAATTCCTGGATTCGCCACTGGATGTATTAAGTTCTATAGGCTTATAGATTATTGGAATCAATTTAGCATAAACCAATTAACACTTTGATTGAACACTACATCAGGAAGGGTGCAGCAAAATTGAATACCTACAGTATTCCGGTAACTAGAATTCCTGCGAAGAATTAAAATAGGACGTAGAAGAAAAAGCTTAAGAAAAAAGGGAGCACTCAAACGAAGAACTGCAAACGTAAGCACAATATAAAATAATGTCAGGCTTGAGTTTAATATATTATCTGACTACCATTATAACTTTATAGCCGTTTGCAGTTGACATTGTTGTTTTAATAGTTTTACAGAAGTACTGTATTGCACTGTTCTAAGCAAGGCAACGAATTTGGTACCGGTAATAACATTTTAAAGAAGTGTAGCAACCTAAGTTTTATTCTTTAAAATACGTTTTAAAATTTACTATTTTCTTATAACCACTATAAACTCAGTAATATTAGGCGTATAAGTTATATGATTTCCTTAATTGGTGGATTTAATCGAGATTTCCTACCGGATATAATGTCCTTTAAACTTTGCCTTATGCTTTCAATCAGTTTTAAGCATAGAAATCAAGAATTCAACGTGTTAGATTGCATCGTCCCCCGCGTCTTAACTACCTCTGCATTTATAAAGTGGTGGGCCGTTGGTATGTCTAACGCCTTTTTTATAACCTCACTGTATATGCTGCACTAGAGAGTGTGGGCGATATTCCGGTAGTTGATTGTACTCATTAGGAGGACCTATTTTCAAACTCTCGTTTCACAGCAAAAGTCCACTTTTCTAGCTTAAATCCGTGGTAGATTTTAGCTATTAAATTACTATTAAATATAAAGCACGTATCGTATCCTTCCTTTTAATTCATTAACCGGTCGATAAATAATATCAACCAGAGCTTGTTCATTTTATATTAGGCCTATATTAAATGTTTGTAATACAATAATTTTCTTTTAACTTTAATACAGAAACTGGTACAGCGCCCTCTTCGATAGTTCAGTTCTTTGAAAAAGTACATTAACTTCACAGATTAATGCAGTATTACCATTTTATACATACTGCATGCGTCAGCATCCAGAAAATTGTCAATCATTAATGTCATTGATTTTGAGTTATTGAAGTGCTCCTTCTGACTGAAACCTTCATAGCTAATGCAAATAGTAGATTTAGATAAGTATGAATATTGGTAAATATAGCTTTGGATTTTAGTTTAAAAGAAATGTTACAGGTTTGCATTTTTTATAATCAGAATAATAAAGTGGAGCCTATTACATGCATAAATAATCAACGAAACTCCAGTTTATATTATATATTTTATTGAAATTAAAGAAATAGGTTTACATGTGAGTCAGTCTATTTAACTATTTTGAAAGTTAGACGAAAATCATCCGGAAGGGTATTTACAGTTAAAGCTCGTTTATTTTTGGCAACCAAAAGTGAGACCACATTTTATTGACTCAGTGTAAGACCATCTGGTCAACTGCCTCCGTTGCATCGAGTTAATGCACCCCCGTGCCTTAGCCTCACTACTAATCTTTGAAGAACTAACGAACAAGTTGAGCCTAACGATCCCTTATGTATTAAGTACAAGGCACTTCCTTGCCTCTGCCTTACTGGTCATTGGTAAAACCCATAATAATGATCAACTTATCGAAAAAAACCCAGTGATCAACGTATTCCTTACAGTATCGAGTGTGAAATGCATCCTGGCATGGCCTCTTGACAAGCAAGGGCTGGCCAAGGGCTGGCGATCAACCCGATCGTCTAATCAAGTTACTGTACTATACCGTACGTTATTCTTTCGCCCTGAACTTGTACCTGGCCTGGTTTATGTACACAAGGTGAAAATTTGTCGCATTTGATAAATATGAAAAAGAGTATTTGCAAATCATCGTTGCAAATAAACCGATCAGCTAAACTATATATAGGTCGCATGCAAAGTGTTTCACTAAGACGTGCTGCTGACTAAGACGATCTACAAAATCAAACTCCTAAAATTAATTCAATTATTAATTATATTTCTATTAAATATGAAAAAGGTGTCTGAACTGGAATTATAAGGACCATTTCACACTGTTGTTAGATTTGGTTAATACTTGTTATGTCTTTCAGGCCAAAACGGTCCAATTTATTTTATAAGCATTCATTTTTTTTAAATACTTTAGTAAAATTGTTCATACACTAAATACACGCAATAGGCCTATTATAATATACTGAGCCAACCAAAAGCACTAATTCACTATACGTGATGGTCCTTCGGGGGTAACGAATAAAAGGCAATATATATAAGAAGTAAAAATGAAACACCAAGGAGTGATACATAGGATGTTCCGGGTATTTTTAACAGAATCCGATGAATCTTGAGGTTTTTCCTCAATATCAACACGATATTCGTAATCTCTAAGGTCTGCGCACGTAGAAGCATTAAGCTCAAGTGATCGACATTAAGAGTTAGTTAAACTAAATAAGGTAATACGAGATGCACCAATTAACAAGCACAAAAATGATGTAAATTTATGGTTTTCCTGTTGATGCCAATTTTCTGACCGAAATATCCGACATCAACATTAAATTACCGACCACAAGTTGAACCATACATCGTATTCATCTCGTGATCAATTTTTCACGCAGATCTACGTGAAACATATTTCAAAATATATTTTATTACATTTCATTTGAGACGAAAGTGAGTAAGCGTGGTTAGTGTACACTTAAAAGACACATTTACCTGCAAACTTCTTCTCTTTCGCTATGATATTACATATTTAGTCCTTCTGAATAAAATCTATTTTAAAGGACACAGTTTATTGTAAATCAAATACAGTAAAAAATTGTCTATTAGACTAGCACGAACGAACACTGCATGTCTCGGTTGTATTTGGACGTGGAGATGTACCAGTACAGTGTGTTGGCTTCATGGTTTTTGTTTTTCCATTGACAGACCGGATGCACTTGACAGACCTCGTCCGTTTGCCCCCTCCACACGTCTTAGAGCAGTCACTCCACGCAGATATGTCCCAGGAATACCTAAAAATTAATCGGAAAGGTTTTGTTTGAGTTTCAGTTAAAATTAAAATTCAAACTTAAATGCTGGCGCTTATTTTAGTATTGCGATGTTCTTACTATAGTAATAAATCTTTAAGAAAAAGAACCCCCCTTAGCTGCGAATAGAAATTATTTGTAGTCAATTTTCTGTGCATTAGCTCAAAACGTATTGCGCCTTTTTCGGAGTGTACATCAAACTTAACAGCTGACTAACCAAAAGAGAGCAAGGATTACGTGCTTATCCAACAAACGACAAGTATACGTACGTTTGCTCTGTCGTTTTGTGGGGCTTAGCAAAAATATCCAAGGTGTCCATTGTTTTAAACTATGACTCATTGAAGTCTTATATACACTATATACATAGATTTATAAAAATTAATTGTAAACTATCCATACTGTAAGTTTTACTTAATACCTTGGTCAACATATTACCGAAGATGGAAAATATGTGAGAAATTAGAAGAAGAAGAAGAAGAATATGGGCTTTCGAGAGTCTGTCAAAATGTTGAAATCAAGAAACCTTGAAGCTTAAATACAAGGAGAAGACTAACACAATGTTACGTGTGGTCAACTCTCTTGTATGTTTCAGAAACGTGGATCCTAAGCGCACCATTGATGAACAAACTAGCAGCTTCTGAGATGTGGAACTTAGGAGAATGGTAGGAATTACATGGAAAGATAGAGTGACAAATAAGGAAGTTTATGTAATAGTAGGAGCAGAAAGGAATTTATTGAATATTGTGAAGAGTAGAAAGTGGAAATTCCTTGGGCACATAATCGGAAAAAAATGGGTTCTCCTTGATTACAGAATGGACGGAAAGAGAGGAGTTGGAGCCAAGAGTTGCCTGGTCAGGAAACATCAAGGGGTGAGAGCTACGACACCGTCAGGATGGCACAAGATAAAAGAAGATGGATGTTCATGGATACCTACATTGGATTACAAGAACAACAATGGTTTCATAATGTGACCATTGAATTTGACACAAAATTAAACCGTGTTGGCTAAATTCTGCTACTTAAATTAGTATTTATTATTGATAAGCTGTATCTACTGTATGTTTACTTAGTATAGACACCACTTAGTCACTTTATCAGTAATGTATGAAGAACATTTATATTGACTTTTGCTGATGCAATAAAATACATACTCACGTTTTACATGCCTGTTCTGCACAAGCAATTCTCGTATTCGGTGCTTTTGTTTTACACTTTCGTTTATTTACAACTTTCATGTCAGAGGCTCGTTTGCATTTGTAGATTTCCTTTTGAAATCCTGAAAGTAGAAAAATCTGAAGGTAATTTATTGTTAATTAAAGTTGATATGACTGTAACATCTCATTATTATTATTATTATTATTATTATTATTATTATTATTATTATTATCATTATTATTACTATTATTATTATTATACTTATAACATTATGCTAACTTTGAATATTTTGCAATAGGCCTATTCATATTTGTGATGACAGAATTAATAGTAATACAAATAATATGACGATATCTACCTAATTATAATTATATGACAGGACAGTAATGTAATGTGTTTTATAACAGTGCATACTGATGAGATGATAAAATAGATTGAACCGATTTCTTGAAGTTCTCTTCTGTAAAACCACAAGAATGAAAAATTCATCTATTCCTACAACTGTTAACTTACTGGAGGAGTAACATTAATTATTTGATGTTGCGTATTAAGTACTGTAACATTAACATTAATTATTTAACCCGTCTAGAGGTGGATTAGTTGTTAGGCCTTAACCATAATCATTTCTTGAATGCAGTTTTTCTGTGGGTTGTTTTTGTTTGCAATATTTGTTGTGTTCCTGATTTTATGAATTTTTGGATTGTGTAATGTTAGAACAGTAAATTCAATTTTTATATATTTATATTTTTATATTTATTGTACTACACGATAGACTCATTTGCAGACTTAAGAGTTACGTGACAACTAGTGGTTGAAAACAGACAGCGACGACTGACTCTCGGTTAAGTAGGAGAAGGCAGGCATCCTCGGAGAGTTTCTGCTGTCAACTATACCCAATTGATTGGAAATTGAACTTGAGAATATGGTCATAATGGTTTACTAATGATTTAAACGACACTGGGCCCACTAATAATGACGGTCGCCGATTGTGTCTATTAACAATAGTTTTACTTGTGATGTATACCTCCATCACAGGTAGCGGTGCACTTGGTAACACTGTCCATTACCCAATCGTATTGAGATTGCGGAGTATTTCGTACGACTTCTACGCGGGCTGACCTCGCACTTGCAAATATAGTTAACCCTTCTTCTTCTCTTTCTGTGATGAATCGACATTTGAACGATGGCACAGTTGAATCGGTCTCGTTTCTATAGATCTAACATAAAACAAAGCTTTATTTTTGGATGTAATAATATAGAATGAAATTTATAATACTGTAACTACAAAACGAATTATAATATTCTCAGTAGACATAGGCCCTATTTGTTTTATTTAGCGAGTAGCATACAGGATCAGAGTAGGATCAGAGCTTTCGGTTGTGCGACGACGCGACGCTAGAACGGAATCACTCATGCGTGACC